CCATTAAACCCAACAACTGATTTATTGCAATAAAAAAAAAGAAAAAAAAAAAAAAAAGGCAGAGACTGAGGCAGCACACAGGCAAGCAGCCAAACCAGCTCAAACGAGAAGCTGAGGAGAGACATGGGGGGGGGAGGTCTGAAAATGCAAAATATTTTTGCCCATATTAACCAAAAGGCAGCAGTTTTTACACGAGGGACAGATTCGGAGCAGTAACTACAACCGTAAGACATCTCAGAACAAATACGAGCGCACTACACCAGGAGCCAAGGGATGGGCCACGTCGGCAGCAGGCTCTGCTAGGAGGGGCTCCGGCAGACAATTTTGGGAACAAAAAAAACTGAGCTTGTGTGTCCTGATGCCCGCCGTACGCGCTGGCTACGGTCACTCAATACCGTTACGGAATCTGGATACAAAGGAACTCAATAATTCACATTATTAGCAGTAATTCTGCAATAGCCTTTCGAGGCAGGCTTTCCTTTTTATTTACTATTGCCTAGTCCAAGATAAACCCTTAGTTCTGCTTAAGATTTTAACCACAACCATAGCTAGATAATCCTTCTCTGCATAAACTGGTTCTGTGCTTGGTCTTGTAACAGTCATTTCCTTGAAGATTTAAACAGAAAGACTTTACTAAATCATTTCAAGCCTCTCTTGTTAGTCAAAAGCAGGAATTAGCAGCCAAATAAAGCGTGCTGCCACACCGCTGGGCGAGTTCAGCTCCCAAATCCATCAAAGGTTTCCTTTTCCCTGCAGTTCAATACCAGACTAAAGGGGCAAGCCATAGGTTAGGATCTCGTAGATCATGAAAGCACACACCAGCGCAAACCAGACCAAAGCCTTCTCTCTTCTGCTTTCAGCACACCCTCACGTGTTTCTTTCTTCAAATACACTGGGAATGACATCAATGCTCGAGCTCCCGTCAGAGCCGGGCATTTCTTTTCTCATATACACTCATCTCTCACTTCATAACCACAGCTTTCAACCTTCCCATTCACCTCTTCCCCAATATTCGCTGGGATGGGAGCGAACCAAGGTTTCTCTCAAATCTCCTGATTTTTCCAGTAGCTAGAAGCAGTCTCCCCTTTTGCCGTAGTTCTTCAAAATCCTGCTGTTTTTCCAAACTCCTCACACACCCATTGACTCCAGACTCGCACTCCCCAGTTACCAGGCCATCTTAGCAGCTTAGTGAAGTTTCAACCTTTCCAACACTTCTTCTTCCACCACACTTTTGAAAAACCTACCTCAAGTGTCAGGCTTTCCTCCAGCTTCTGATACTTCTGCCGCTGCTTCTTGCACCTCCGCTTCCAATACTTCCTCCAAACTCCTCACACACCCATTGACTCCAGACTCGCACTCCCCAGTTACCAGGCCATCTTAGCAGCTTAGTGAAGTTTCAACCTTTCCAACACTTCTTCTTCCACCACACTTTTGAAAAACCTACCTCAAGTGTCAGGCTTTCCTCCAGCTTCTGATACTTCTGCCGCTGCTTCTTGCACCTCCGCTTCCAATACTTCCTCCTTCTCCTCTCATAACCCCCTGCGGCAGGCCCTCAAAACCTCCCCCCCCCCCCCCCCTCCCCTTGAGTCTTTTCTGATTTTGCAATGAGAGCTTTAAAACTCTGCCCAGAACCAGCCATCAGAGGAGCAGACAACCTGCCCTTCTTCGCAGCAGCCACTTCCTACCTCCATCTGATAGGATATCACTGCAGCAATCAGCCTGTTTTCCCAATAGGCTCTAATTAGGGTAAGAAGGGAACCTATAGGTGCTAAGCATCCTGCCCCCTAAATTGAGTTAGGCTTGTTAGGAAAAAAAAATAAATAAAAGAAAAAGAAAAAATACATTTGGGCTTCAAACTTCTCTAGTAATCTTTCTAGGACTACTCACAGCATGTCCATATAAGCCCCGACTCTTCCCACAGGTGAGTTCCCTGCTGAAATAGGGACATCTAGTCACCTAAATAAACTCTCCCTGCTTCCCACAAACACACTGCAGAGTTAAAATAAAACAACAACACCACAACCCCAACACCCTACAGCTGCTCCCCGAATTGCAGCAATTGCACTCCTCAGCATTACACCTCAACAGACTCCTGTGCTGCTTAACCAGCTGCGAGCAGACGACTGGATATGGATTAGGAGCAGGGATAGGACTGGGGGCTTTCAAACGAAAGAACTTTATGAGGCTGGCCTGAGGCTTCCCTTTTGACTTTCCTATCCGGTAGCCATTGATATTTTAACGTAAACCCAGAGAAAAGGGATGGCAAAAATGTAATGGGGTGGTGCTCAGTGCCCACACGCCTCCTGCCTTAGGTCTAGAACCGTCAGAGCACGGAGGCCCCCTTCATTGCTCTGCTGCCTGTAAAAATACGGGCTCTGCTTACAAGATAAGATGTTCCGAATTGGATACTTACTCTATTTATTGGGAAAAAATCGTACATGTGGGTGCTAACTGACAAAACAGAGCGTAGATGGGAAATAATCTTCCGTTATGTGAAGTGACATACAGTGAAGTTGTTAACTAAAGCGATGTCAGACTCAGTAGATAAATACATAGACAAAATGTAAACTAGAAATCTGATTTGTTCTTCTTTATATTTTCGTAAGTTTTGATGATGAAATACTTGTTAATTAATTTTGCTTGCCTATCCTACCATACCAGGGCAATACACCTGTATTTTGGTTATAAGCACAGCAGGGACACATTTAAATGTTTGCTCCAAAGATATTTACCTGACCATTCTTATTTTCATTAAATGATGTCTATCAAATGTAAGGCCTAGATAATGAGCGCCCTCGCAAGGTTTCTTTGTAGGGTTTTGAATTGCTTGGGGACACCTTGATCCTGCCAACCAGCACCGTTCACCTGCAGAGGCCTGCCCTTGCAGATTTAACCGCCTGAGATTTCAGGGAGATTTCACAGTCCTGAACACACCACCCCCTGACTGTGAGCATGCTTTTGTCTCCAAGGGCAGTTTGAAAGATTCATTCACAAATTTCCGCCACAACATCCTTCTCTCTGAATTGGAGAGCTATGGATTTGATGGGTGGGCTGTTCAGTGGATAAGGACCTGGCTGGATGGTCACATCCAGAGGGTAGTGGTCAATGGCTCGATGTCCGGATGGAGGCCGGTGACGAGTGGTGTTCCTCAGGGGTCCATACTGGGACCGGTGCTGTTTAATGTTTTCATCAATGACTTAGACAGCAAGATTGAGTGCACCCTCAGAAAATTTGTGGATGACAGCAAGCTGAGTGGTGTGGTTGATACACCAGAAGGACAGGATGTCATCCAGAGAGACCTGGACAGGCTGGAGAGGTGGGCCTGTGTGAACCTCATGAGGTTCAACAAGGCCAAGTGCAAGGTCCTGCATCTGGGTCGAGGTAACCTCCAGTATCAGTACAGGCTGGGGGAAGAAAGGATGGAGAGCAGCCCT